GGCTCGCGCCTCCAGGCCTCCGTGCACCGCTCGGCGCCCCGCAGCCCCGCCACCCCCGGGCCGGGACGCGGGCAGCGGCGCCGGCTGCAGCCGAGGGCGGGCGGCGGTTTAAAATGGAAACGCGCGCCGGGGCGGGGCGGGCGGGCGGGCGGGCGGGCGGGGGCCGGCGTGCAGCGACCGCGGGCCGCGAGCCCAGCCCGGCGGCCGAGTCCCGGGAGCGCGGCGGCGGCGGCGGCGGCGGCGGGAGCGCGGCCCGCGGACACGCACAAGCGCCGGGCTGGATCGCCGCCGCGCGGACCGGAGCCTCCGGGGGGCCTCCCGCCCTGCGCTCCCCCTGCAGCCCCCGGGCAGTGGCCTGCAAAACCGAATCTGCGGGCCGCCCCTCACCTGTTTACCTGGAGGGCCGCAGAGGATGCAACTCAAACAAGGACTTCCTTAAAAAGCAACGTCTCTCAGGTACCGGTTACTCACACACTTGTGCTTGGGAGGAACAAGTGCGTGCTCCTCCGGGACGGAGAGAGCAAGGAAGGGCCGAGGGTGGGGGCTTCCCTGTGATGCTGCCGCTCCCATCGCTGCCCTCCGAGGACCGAGGACCGTGCGGTTTCACTCCTAAAAATATGTTGCAGGGCAGCCGGGGGGGGGGGGGGGGGGGGCCTCAGCGGTTTGGCGCCTGCCTTCAGCCCAGGGCGTGATCCTGGAGACCCGGGATCGAGTCCCGCATCAGGCTCCCGGTATGGAGCCTGCTTCTCTCTCTCTCTCTCTCTTTCATGAATAAATAAAATCTTAATAAAATGTTGTAGCGGTATTTTCCCAATGTGTGGAAAAAGGCGGGGGACAGTTAACAGGCAGAAGAACAGTAGCTCAGAGCAGGAAGAAAGAAGACCTGCCTGTCTAAGCCTGTCCACTCCTGGCCATCTCAGATTTTCCACCTGGAAGGTGGGGATGCAAAAAAAAAAAAAAAAAAAAAATCGAACCTAAACTCAGCGTTCTCACGAGGACTAAAGGAGCTAAGACCTGTGTGACAGGCATTGTGTGCTAAGGGCTAAATACTGAACACTGAGTTTCTCTTCCACCAAATATCCCCACTTGCTATCACTTGGCTCTGTAGATCCTGGTTCTTGGGATGACCTGATGCCGCACAGTATTGTCATACAGCTGATCAACCCATTAGTTCTTGATGATTTCCAGAACATAGGGGTTTGCTGGCTTAGAAGTTTCCACCGCAAAAATGTCATACATATTATGACTATAGTGTCCACTCATTAAGCTGGATGCTTACACAGGCTTCTCGAGGCCTGGAAATGCCAAAGACACATGAGAAAAGCTTTTGGGGGGCAAAGTGCTCACAGCAAGGCGTCATTCTGGGATTCTATGACCGTTTGCAAGCCCTAGTTTCCTCTTTCACCAAATAGTGCGTTAATGGCACTGAAGGGGATACAAAGATGAATGGCGAGGTCTCTTATGAAGGAGGTTATGGCTTAGGATACCTGGATTTTACCTCAAAGGGAAATTATTCAGATTTAGTGAGATAGATCAGAAAGCTTGCTAGGGTGATCCCATTCCTTTTTATTGATTTATTCTCAAAATTTATTTATTAAATGAGAGACACAGAGAGGCAGAGACACAGGCAGAGGTTAGGAGCAGGCTCCACACAGGTAGCCCGACATGGGACTCGATCCCAGGTCTCCAGGATCAGGCCCTAGGCCGAAGGCGGCGCTATACCGCTGAGCCACCGGGGCTGCCAGATCCCATTCCTTTTTAAGAAGATTCTTCAGAGCAGAGGATTTTTAGAACAGGGAAAACACTCCATATGACACCATAATAGTGGACATGTGTCATTATACATTTGTCCAAACACATAGAATGCACACCAAAAGTGAACCCTAAGGTACACTATGGACTCTGGGTGACAACAACATGCCCTCATCAGTTTAGCGATCATAACAAACATACCACTCTGGAAGGAATGTAGGTAGTGGAGGAGGCTATGCACGTGTAGGGGCAGGAAGTATATGGGAACCCTCTGTACCTTCTCCTCAGTATTGCTGTTCACCTAAAATGGCTCCAAAAAATAAAGCCCATTTAAAAAAAGGTTATGGGACGCCTGGGTGGCTCAGTGGTTGAGCGTCTACCTTCAACTCAGGGTGTGATCCAGGAGTCCTGGGATCCAGTCCCACATCAGGCTCCCTGCATGGAACCTGCTTCTCTCTCTGCCTGTGTATCTCTCTCTCTCTCTCTCTCTCTTATGAATAAATCAATCTTTAAAAATGATAAAAAAAATTTTAAAAAAGTTAAAACATATCTGACCACCCCCAGTGGCTGCACCTAACTGCCACAATCATAGGGTCATTGCAAGCTCTGGCACCCAAGGGTTCAAGAGGAACACCTCTGACATATCCGCAAGTGCAAAGTTAGAGAACCCTCCCAGGACAGATCAGTCTTACCTTCACAGTTTGGATAAAAAACCCTCTTTGATTAAGACCCGGGAACCAGCAACTTCCAGAGTGGGAGGGAGATGGATAATAATCAGCTATTACAATGGCATTCCCCAAGCCCAGCAGGTTACCTGGATGCGGAGGGCTGAGAGAGGGTGGGTGCCTTCCCCAAGGCTACACAGCTCCTTGCTGAGAGCTGAGCCTGGGGTCACATTGCCTGTGCCCATCATCATGCCACAGAGGCGTTTTCTGATTTCGTAAGCATCAGCATTTACTTTGTTGACCAGGAAGAGAGAAATGTGCGAGTACTACTGAGCCTGGCACTAATCAAATGTCAATGATCTCTACACCTAGCAGGTTTCCATTTACTCATTCACTTCTCTTCTTGTTCATTTGCTCTTTAAATATATGCTGGACACCTACCGCAATACGACGCGGTGAGAAGACAGTCTCTGTCCTCAAAGAACTCAAGAAGCTGTGAAACGGTGGTCTTTTCAAGGTCTTGTGGTTTAACATAAAGACAGGGAGGGAGGTAAGAGGACGGGAGACAGAGCAGCGCCCGGCCCCAGTGGGTCTGCAGGGTGAGCACCACTAGCATCGGGTGGGGTTTACTGTTTGATAGATGTAGCTGTGTGGACAGAAAGGTCAGGCCGGATTTAAGGGGAAACAATGGAATTCAGCCATGCAGAGTGGCAGGGACCTCTCTCTGTGAGGGGCCCTGGTGCGATCGGAACCCAGGACTCCTAAACTCAGCCTGGGGTCCACTCTCACTTTTTAAGACCAAGGCAACCTTCAAACGCTGAGATGCATTTTTACTATGAAATCAGCCCAGGATTAAGACAGAGAGCTTCCTGTCACCTGAGCCCAAGGTAAAAAGTAAAAGAGATTTCCTTAAGCGCTTGAATCTTGAATGGCTGGTGTCTTCCGACTCCTGCCAGTTGGGCTGTGTACAATCCAGCCCAGGGTTTGCACTTTGCTGTCGGAGGATGCAATCTGCAGAGTAGAAGATTCCATTTGATCCACCTTAGATGACTCCGAAGCTCAGATGGTGTTGAATGAGGGAACCTCTGTAAGCCACAGCCCAGATGTTCACTGCCCCCTCAGTGCTTTCACCTCCCCAGAAAGCATTTATCTCCCACACCAATCACAGCGATTCCACACCAGGTCTGACAGTCTAGCTAGAAAAACCCCGGGAGAGACCCCTCTCCCCACTGCCCTGGATACATGGGCTCTTCCAATGCAAAGAATCAGAGGCTCAGATAGATCTTGTCACTCCAAAAATCTAAATCCCCTTTTACGCAGCCAGACCTGCCTTTTAAAAATAGAAACAGTCATGCTCTACGTGTTCAGGTGGCACTATGCTTTATTTTTCTGCTGCTTTTGAAAATGACCCCTCTAGACAAGCATTCCTTAAAAAAATTTTTTTCTGTGCCTTAGAATATATCACCATTTTGGCTTATTTAAAAAAAAAAAAAAAAAAAAAGCCTGTAGTTGATCTCACTACTCCATCAAAACCAAATAGCCGGCAGGCAGGCAGGCAGGCAGGCAGGCAAAGCCTCAACGCTGCAGAGGGTGCAGCGCGTGACACAGAAGGAGTACAGAGGGGTCCAGGGATGGGGGGCACCCTTATGCATACCCCCACTGCATCGCCTCCTGCAGCTGGCCTCGCTCCCCCATTCTCAGTTTATGGGACCTTTTGGCCACCCTCCCATGACCCCGTCCCGGGCCATTTCTAGCTAACCATAAATTAAACATCCTCTATGAGAATATTATTTTCAAGTGTTACTAGAGCCTTATTTAAAGGAAATCTCTGGTAGTCAGCTGAGCCATCTGCTACACAAGCGGACTTTCCAAGTAACAGAACTTGCCAGCTAGTGATCACAGCCACGGTATCTTAGCAGAACCACGTGTGGGCCCCCGCAACCGGCCAGCCGCTGACGTTGCCCAGGCTCTGCACACCCACCCCAGGAGCAACAAAGCACCTCCCCCAGTTCATGGCATACTTTAAAGACCACTTTCTGGCAGCAGGGTGATGAAAAGATACAGATAGAAGCAAAAAGAAAGGCACTTGTGATAAACCAACACTTCCCCTGATTGACCTTTAGGCTCAAGACTCAAGTCTGGTCACCAGGGGAGGAAGGCTTTCTGATCCAAGATCTACCGTGGTGCTGGGCCTCTGTAGACTGACGACTCTGCGATCATCCCTGCCTGCGCTGAAGTCATTAGGGGCCCCATTTCTCTCATTGTATAAGCTCGAAGTTAAAAGAGGAGCCATGAGGGCAGCCCGGGTGGCTCAGCGGTTAAGCACCGCCTTCAGTCCAGGGCCTGATCCTGCAGACCCAGGATCAAGTCCCGTGTCAGGCTCCCTGCATCTCTGCCTCTCTGTCTCTGTCTCTCATGAATAAATAAATAAAATCTTGAAAAAAAAAAAAAAAAAGAGAGGAGCCATGAAAGAGAGAAGGACCTGTCAGAGAGGGACCAGTGTGCTCGGTCGCTAAGGCCAGGACATCCTGAGTCAGCAGGAAGAAAGAGGTCCCTCCAAGCACCTACATCCTACACCTACACTTTTCCTCGAGGACCAACAATGATGACGCCGCTGCCAACAGAACCTTGCATGGTCCTATGTGTATGAATACACAGATCTTGTAAGGCAGCACTTGTGCTCCACACTCTTCCATTTTAACAGGAGGCCGTCCAGTGTCCTCTCCGTGGGCAACGCCACCAGGCCCCAGACACAAGGAGTCAAAGGTCAGCAACTACTTATCAAAACCAAATCTTGGGGTGCCTAGGTGGCTCAGTCAGTTAAGCATCTGCCTTTGGCTCAGGTCATATTCCTAGGGTCCTGGGATTGAGTCTAGCATGGGGGGGGGGGGGTCCCTGCTCAGTGGGGGGCCTGCTTCTCCTTCTCCCTCTGCTTGTGTCTGTCAAATAATTTTTTTTAATCTTGAAAAAAATCAATGAAAAAACACTAAAAGAACAAACAACAACAACAAAACAAATTTGGTTTAGTCGACTTCCCATCTGAAGGCATCCGTAGATCAGAGAATCAGGCAGCATTGTGCAAAGCAGCCAGGACATGGGCACCTCTGTGGGAAGGGTGAGGCAGAGGAATGAGAGGCACTCTCCCACCCCTGATCCACGGTACCCCAAGCCCAGCCCAGTACCCCACAAAGGGCTTCTCTGGGGAGCCCTCCCCTGATTCTGGACCACAAATGAACACTGCAAGATGCTGATGCTCAGTGAGCACACCTGTGTGGGGGGCAGCCGAGATGCTTGCACTTTGCTTGCCCAGGATTCTTGCAAGGCAAATACAAAATTTGGCTCCGAGCAGTCCGTGACCTGCACTATGACAGCAAAAGGCCCACCTGCTCATCCATTTTCTGCTTTCCAGCAGGTAGACGGCAGCATGAAGCGCACCGACTGTGCCCAGAGCCTTCTGCTCAGTGATGGGGGCACTGGGAGGTAAGGGGACTGAGAAGTGTCCTAAATAACCCGACATCAGCAGAAAGTGTTTCATGTATTCATTTGGGGAATATAAAAAAATAGTGAAAGGGAATAAAGGGGAAAGGAGAAAAATTGAGTGGGAAATATCAGAGAGGGAGACAGAACATGAGAGACTCCTAACTCAGAAACGAACTAGAGGTGGTGGAAGGGGAGGTGGGTGGGGGGTGGGGGTGACTGGGTGACGGGCACTGAGGGGGGCACTTGATGGGATGAGCACTGGGTGTTATTGTGTATGTTGGCAAATTGAACACCAATAAAAAATAAATTTTAAAAAAAGTGTTTCATGTGACAGGAAGGACGCAGGTAAGCAGGTGGCAGAAAATGGCTATTTCTAGCTGAAAGATTCAAGAAAGCCTTCAAGAAGGAGGTGGCATTTGGCATTCATGCAGGCACAGTGGTCGGCCTCTGCGCCCCAGCCACTCTGGGCTGGATCCTCCTTCATGGACAGTCTATCCTGTGTATCGCAGGATGTTGGGCAGCATCCCTGGCCTTCCTACCCATGCCAGTGTACCTCTCCCCAAGTCACGACAACCAGAAACATGTGCAAATATTGCCCGTTATCTCCTGGGGAGCAAAAGCTCACTGGTGGAGAACCACTCACTGCTCCAAAGCGATAAGCAAGGTGTGCTCGTGTGAGAAAATGAGCAGTGGCTCCTATGTCTTTCCGACTTTTCGTTTTATTATTTTTTTGATGCAACTGTTTTCTCTTGCCTCTGTATATGATACTAAAAAGCTCGAGATAGGGGATCCCTGAGTGGCTCAGTGGTTTGGCGCCTGCCTTCGGCCCAGGGCGTGATTCTGGAGTCCCGAGTTCAAGTGCCGCATCAGGCTCCCTGCATGGAGCCTGCTTCTCCCTCTGCCTGTGTCTGTGCCCCTCTCTTTGTCTCTCATGAATAAATAAATAAAATCTTAAAAAAAAAAAAGCTTGAGATAGTCCCTCTGTTAAAAAAAAAAAAAAAAGCAGCAGCAGCAGCAGCAATTATTTCCAGGAATCCTTCCTAAAACTGGGAGAACACCAACCGTTTGAGATGAGGCCACTACCAGTCCTCATTCTGTGAAAGAAAAATCATCAAGTACAACTAGTTTAAATCAGCAAGTATCACGGACATGATTAAATTGTTGGGGGGGGGGGGGCGGGGATTTTTTGTTTTGCCCACGTTCATTATTTTAAATTCAAAGCAACGCTGTGTTGGTTTTCATCAGAAAAGACCCTAAGCACGGTGCCTGAAGACTTCGGGCCACGAGCCGCGTGCGGAGGAGACAGGCGGGCACTGCCCAGGCCTCGAGAGAGCACCGGGGAACTGTGACCTCAGGGAAGCTCACTGGCTTGCCCTCCGCGGAGCTCCCACCGCCAGGAGCCCCCGCGGGGACTTGTGCCAGGGCTGGAGCGGCCCTGCCACACTGTCTCCCATTACTCCCCACTGGGTCAGGCTGGCACTGCTCACACACGTGTCTTCCGAGAGCGGGAACTCCGTTTCCACTACGGCGAGCTAGGGTTAGTCGTACAGACAAAGCAGCCTGCTTCCAGGGCAGCAGGAGAGAGATTTCTCCACACACTCTGGCACCGGTGAGCCAACAGGAAGCATGTAAAACCAGGCTGAAAGCTCACATGCCCTTCCATGGGCCGAGGAGAAAAACGTCCTGATTTTAAAAATATGCCACCAAGAGTCCCTTAGTGAATAGATTCTCACTCCCAAACAAAGGAAAAGGTCAGAAATTTCTTGGGGGTCTTTCTTGCTACACGCCACGCACAGGTGACTCAAGATAAAATTAAAACCAAGTGCATTAAGCGTCACTTTGTGGAAACAGATGCAAACACCACACTTTGTTGCCCGTGTGGCGACCACAGCCTGCGCCACCGATGGTCACTCTGGAGGTGCTGGGCACTGGCTGAGGCCAGAGCATCTCCTCGCGGGCCCCACTCCCCCAGGGGATGCTCTGCTTTCCTCGCCAGCCTCCAGCCCTCTGGGGAGACGCAGCTGAGGAATCAGAAGGATTTAATCAAGGGTAACACACAACTGTGCACCTGTCCCTTGGACAGCTGCAAAGAAGCTCTGGAATTTGTGTGGAGAAAAACCAAGAAATTCCTCCCAATTACCTAATCTTCCCAGTCCTCGAGTGCACACAGGACCAGGCCTGTCTGGCAGCATTTTCCTCGGCAGGACCCACCAGAAGAGATTCTTCTAATGATACCATCTGCACGAGCATCTTCCGACAGCCGTTACAACCAGAACACAGGGAAGAGTCTAATAGCGATGCCGCCCCCACCCCCAACCCCCACACCCCCCACCCCGAAGAGCCTCCCAGAGTGGAAACAAATACCACAAGCTGTCAGAGAACAGCCACCTGAGTATGTCTGACAACTTCTGGATGCCTACTAAGTCCATCTGTAGATGCATGGACCGCCCCCCCCACCCCAAGACTCGTGAAGTCCAGGACTTCTATGAAAATAAAAAATCTTGGCCACAAACAATGCCCTGGGAATTTCTGTCCATACCATTAGAAAGCTCAAGAAAAGCCTATTTTGGCAGAGTTATCACTTCTGCATCCCATTTGGGAATTGGCTGCTGAGGTATCTGGAAATCTTTTCTCTGTGCCCAGGGGACTTGAAGGTTTGATATACTTCTCTCTAAATGTGGAAAACAACATGACTAAGATGCCTGTTCAAAGCCCAGACGCACTCCCCCCCAGTCAGCAGTGGGGGGCACGTGACCACCCTCCTGCCTCTATTAGCCAATGTGTCACCGGCCCGGTTCCCTGCGGTGGAGGATAAACACAGCACAGGCGCTGCTAGCAGCAGCCACCCCCTCGCTAGTTACGATTTGCATAAGTGCTCCCGAGAAAGACGAGAAGTGGGTCACGGGGACCAGTTCCGACACAGTAAGATGAAGCAAAACATCCGTGTCTTCTCATCTGCTTGCCACGCACACGGCTCATCAGCAACCTGCCTGCGGGGAGCAGGGGTGAGGCGGCCCTGCGGCAGGGAGACGCCCCGGCCTCCTCCCCGCGCCAGGATGTCTGTTGTGCTAGGCTGGCCACCTGGCTCCAGAATCTTCCACGAGGGAAAGTGGAGGGATGACAGCAACAGTGCCATGGCCAAACAAGCGGGAGAGCTCCGGCATCTCTGCGGACCCCACCCCTGCCCGGCATCGTCTCTGTTCCTGGGAGTGTTGCTGCCCGTGGCCACGTGGCTGCTTGGGCACCAGCACAAAACTTCCCGAATCTGGAGAAGGAGGTTCATGGCCCCTGCAGAAACTACTGCCAGTGGGTCAGCGGCAGCCCCCAAAGACTCCAAACTGCAAAGTCCTACAGCCATCGAAGACACTACTAGGTGGCTTGGCAGTGAGTGGACGCAGAGAACTGGGAAGTACATCCCGTGCCCCGGGGCCCCTTTCTCCCTGTCCCCGCCTCACAGACACCCCAGAGGAGGTGCCGAGGGGTGCGGCATCCCTGTGGAGGGCCAGGCCACACCGTCTCCTGCACTCAGGTGGTCTTTCCCTTCACTAGTTCCCACGGCCTTCTCCCAAGGTCATGCCCTTGAATTAGCCAACACTGGCCACCCCACTATCTTAGCCCCTAACTATCCCGCACCTGGCCCACAACCCTCCACGACAGCTGTCCTCTTTCTAGCACTTCCACTCCTGCCATCAGGAGGCTCATGTAACACCCCCTGGCCCTTCCGATCTGCAGGCCTGTCTCTATCCAGCACAGGCCAAGACACACCCGTCTACTTCACCTACTGCTGTCAGCCCGATGCCTCCAACACCCCACCTGGGCCCACCCCAAAGGTGGCACCATCCATACACTCCAACCCGCAGGATGGGTGCTCCTCAATATGTGTCCATGGAGGAGCCTGGATCTGGGACTCCAGCCTCCCACCCCTCCCCTCCACATCTCTAGGAGATTCTTGTGCATGCGCAAGTATGGGAACACTGAGTGTACATCCCGGGGCCCCAGTGCAGATGCTCACACAGCTGAGGGGCAGAGCACCGGCACCCTGCAGCCCTTCCCTGCAGCCCTGGTCCCCCACATTCCCATTCCAACGATCTGAGCCTCCAGCCTGCCCTGAAAACATGGGGGTACCACACCCCCGAGTTGCTGCACTCTGGGCCTCCCAGCCATACTCGCCGCTCCCACCCGGAGTTGGCAAATGGACCGTGTACATCAATCACGATCCTCTCCTGTCCTTCAGCCAGCACTGAAAATATTCAATTATCTCCCACTTAATAAAAAAAAGAAACAAAAGCCTCTCCTCCCTGTGTGTGCCCTCCAGCCCCCTCCCAAGCTCCTCCCACCTCCCCAAAGAGTGCACTCGGCTTCCTGCCTTTATATTCCATCCTCTTCATCCTTCGCTGGGTTCCCAGAGCAAGGGGACAGCCAGCCTTTCAACCCTGATGGAAGTTTTAGGCCACGTTTCCACTCAGAGAGTCCCTGTCAGCTACAGAACAGAATGCCCACTCCTTAACTGGCTTGCCAGGCCCCCCGAAGGTCCCCAGCCACCCCCTGCTATGCAGGGTGGCTAAGGCACTGAGCTCTAACACCAGAATGATGCAAACCCTGTGTGACCTCAGGAAAGTGACCTTGAGTCTCTGAGTCCAGTTTCACTTGGCAGTAAGGCCGTGATGATAGTGGAGATGTGACAATCAAATGTGATGATGCATATGAAGCATTTGACCCAATGTTTAGGACAAAGGTGGGCTGCCTGCTGCCTCCCAAGATCCTTCATTCCAACACAGCCAACTCCCATCCAGTCCTGAGCGTACCATACCCAGTCTCCCCACAGCCTCCTGCTGGGGCTTGCAGGATCAGGGGAGTCCTGCTCATCGCTGGAGCCTGGGCCACCCCTTCCCAGTATCAGTCCCCCTGCTCTGACCCAACACTCGCCCTTTACGTAACAACTTCCTCCAGAAGACCAGGGTCCTTGACACAGGATCAGCATCTTTATCTCTAAACCTCAGGCCTTATCAGTGTTCTGCTTAATAAATGCTGCCTGGTGCTTAACTTTACCCAATCCAGGCAGCTGATTCAAGATTAATTCTGGAAGGGAGCAGTAGTGCCTCGGTCATGTTGCAAGTAATAGCAGAGGTCAGCTAACACCCCTGTTTACACTGCTACACCACACAGCAGCCCCCCACCCCCCATAAGTTTATCTACAAAGTCTCTAGCAATTAGGGAAATGCATGGAGAGGACGGTGATTCATTCCTTCCGCTGGCCACAAAAATCCTCCACTGCGGCTGATCTTGGGTGGCTGCCCCTAGAAAGCATGCCCCTCCTTTGGTGGACTTGAAGCCATGTCTGGGGGTGGGGAGTTTCCAGAAGTGTGAATGCCTAGGGAAGCAGTGGCTTCACTTCAGAGCTGGCCAGAGAGGAGGGGTCTAGAGCCTGGAGGAAGCTCTCCAAGGAGGGCTCCTTCCCTGCCTACCCCTCTAGCCTGGGTCATGCTGATAATGCAAAAGCAGCAGACATCCCAGGATAGGGGTGGTCAGCTGGTTGGCCAAGACTCAACTAGCAAGGGCTACCGGCAGGGCACTGGGCCTTTACTGACCTAGAAGGAAATGCATCCATTGATCCTGGTGCTCAGGACACTCATGAAGAACTTGAAGGGCACCTGAGCAGCTTAGTCAGTTAAGCGGCTGCCTTTAGCTCAGGTCATGATCTCAGGGTCCTGGGATTGAGCCCTGAGTTGGGCTCCCTGCTCAGCGGGGAGTCTGCTTCTCTCTCTCCTTCTGCCCCTCCCACTCAACTCATTCTCTCGAAAATAAATA